TCTGTTGGTTAAACATCTGCTTTTGGCTCAGATCATGATCCCAGGGTCCTGGGATAGCCCCTCATTGCATTCATTGCTCAGCAGGGGAGCCTGCTTCCCCCTCTCCCTCTCCCTCTGCTGCTCCCCTGGCTTGTGCGCTCTCTCTCTCTCTCTGTCACATAAGTAAAGTCTTTAAAAAATAATTTAAAAAATAGTCTTTTTTAGATTCTCTGCAATGGCCATGTATCTTTTATAATTAAAACCAATAAGAACTTGTAAGAAGTGCTGCATGCTCTATACAAGTTTGGGATTATGTTACTAAATGCTGAAATCCCAGGAATTAAAATTAATGCCAGTCTGGCCTTTTTCTAAACACAATCATTTGCAAATGAAACCTTGGCCTTTTGGGAGGTGGTGGCATCGGGTCTTAGGTAAACATCAGGAATCCCCAGCTTCCCTTGTGGCTCTGGGAGTTTTATATTTTTGAGTTTGTTTTATCTTCTTTCTTTAATGAACTTTTAGAAGACAGACTTAAGTAAGTAAAAATTCCTTACAGTTACAAAATGCTCAGTAAATAGTGATAATGGTTTTCTTGTTCCCTATGGTACAGGAAACATTTTTTTTTTCAGATAAAAAATAGGAAGAAAAATTTATAATCTGAGTTTGTAGCAGTGAGCTGGATGATTTCAAGATTGTGGAAGACTTGTGATGGTTACTGTGCACGAGTAAAATATCTACGGGATGCTAGCAGGGCTGCATGTAGCTCATTTTATCCCGTCAGCTTTCTGTACCATCCATTGGTTTACTGATTAAGTTCTTCTTTCTAGGTTATACATTACCTTTAGCTGCATTGTCTTTTTTTTGTGTGTGTGTCAGATAAAACTTTAAAAGTTTGTCTGATCTAAAAATGACTCATATGTGGAATACAAAGAATAACGATTTTTTAAAAAGATTTATTTGAAAAAAAAGATTTATGTCTTTGAGAGAAAGAGAGAGCTCATGAGAGCAGGAGCAGGGATAGAGGCAGAGGAAGAAGCAGGCTCCCCTCTGAGGAGGGAGCCTGATGTGGGCTCGATCCCAGGACTCTGGGACCATGAACTGAACCTAAGGCAGAGGCTTAACCAACTGAGCCACCTAGGAGCCCCAAAGAATAACAATTTATATCATCTGACATATCTTTCTTAAACAGCGTTACAGCCTTTGTGAAAACATTCTCATTCCATTGTTTATCTGAGTGGTTCTCAACCAGGATGTTTTCCAAACCCCGCCCCTACCCTCCCCCCAGGATAAATGTCCATGTCTAGAGAGACATCTGATTGTCACAGTTGGAGGGTACTACTGGGATCTGTTGTTGGGTAGTGGCCAGGAACGCTGTCAGACATCCTGTAATGTGTAGGACAGCGCACCACAACCAAGAATTACTGACCCAAACTGGCAGTAGTGCCAAGGTTAAGAACCCCTAGTTTATATCTGAAGGATTTTGTAGTGCTTAGGAACAGAGATACAAGTTCCTACTTTTTAGCTGAAGATAGGTCTTTGGTTAACACATTTAGTATTTATTCAAATATGTGTCCCCAGACAATGATTTCAAGGATTAACTTTATATACTGAAAAAGTGAAAAACCCCAGTCTGTTATTTTATTCCATAACTATCCCAGAGGATAAAATGAGCCATTTGCAGGAGTTTTCAGAGATGGGGGGATTTCACCGGCCAAGCAGAACAGTGCTGAGCCCTGCCATGTAATGATACTAATGGGAAGTGTCATTTTTGCTTCCCCCTCTGAATGTTTGAGTTTCTGTTTCTCCAGTAAGTTTGGTGATAATTATGTATCAGTCTCTTCCTTTTCATTGTAATATTTACTGAGAGGAAGATTATAAATGAAATACAATTTGTTCATTCTTTCAGCAATCATTTATTGTCCACTGTGTACCTAGTTCTTGAACACGGATGAGGGGCTCTCTGTTTTTGAGGAATTGCCCTCTAGTTCTCTCTAATCCGGTCTTTTGTATGTATGTATGTATGTATGTATGTATTTGACAAAAAGAGAGAGTGAGCACAAGCAGGGGGGGGCAGCAGAGCGAGAGGGCGAAGCAGGTTCCCTGCTGAGCAGGGAGCCCCATGCGGGTGCGATCCTAGGACCCTGGGATCATGACCGAAGTCGAAGGCAGGGCCCCACCCGGCGCCCCTAAGCAGTTCTTGAATCACAGGGGACCCACCAAGGAAGAAGACCTCTTCTACATAGTGAGGACGGGGTCTCAGTCCTCTCTGCATCCTTAGTGCACATTGTGAGAGTTCAAATACATTCACTGAAGAATGAGTGAAACTATATTGAAATGATTCCTTACACAACCCATGAAGCTGGTATTGTTTTGCTCCAGATGGTTGTCTTTGTGATAATAGGGAGATGTTCAGAAGCTTCTGGTAACTTACCAAGGAGGCAGCAGTGGGGCTCAGACTCTGGGTAGGTGCAGTGCACCGCCTGGTAAACTTCATCTGTCACCGACACATGTTTCTACCTATGACATACCTACATACATACGCACCAAAAATGGCTCTCTTGGCCTTTGGGAATTGAATATTCTGGTTTCTGCCATTCACAAGCTCTCCTACAGAGATAGGGCTGTACAATGTACAATAGCTGCTTATTGTACATTTATTCATGAAAGAAATTATATGCTTTAATGGGGTAGTGAACTTGGGGGTTCATATGGGCCTCTGGCGGTACATACCTCTCAGAATGTCCCAAGTATCCTTGTTGCATATATATATATATATATATTTTTTTTTTTTTAAGATTTTATTTACTTGTTCATGAGAGACCCAAAGACACAGGCAGAGGGAGAAGCAGGCTCCATGCAGGAAGCCTGATGTGGGACTTGATCCCGGGACTCTGGGATCCCGCCCTGACCAAAGGCAGATGCTGAACCGCTGAGACTCCAGGTGTCCCACGTTGCCTGTATATAAAGCCAGGCTAGCCTTCTATATGTGGAGTAGAATCTTTCATATATAATCATCAGCATAATGGGGAAGCATATATAGTAGACTTGCCCACTAATAACTAAGATGAAACTACTGCTTTTTGTTTTTTATTTATTTTTATTTTTTAAGATTTTATTTATTTATTCATGAGAGACACACAGAGAGGGGCAGAGACGCAGGCAGAGGGAGAAGCAGGTTCCCCGAGAGGAGCCCCATATGGGACTTGATCCCAGGACCCAGGGATCACAACCTGAGCCAAAGGCAGATGCTCAACTGCTGAGCCAGGCGCCCCTTATTTCTCAATTCTTGCCAAGTGTAAAAGAGGAAAATTTTTCCTGAAAAAAAAGGGAAAAAATTTTTTCCTCCTGGTTTTCACCTTCTAAACGCACACATTTTCTCTTTCTTAGATTCTTAAAGGAAAAAAAGAGTTACTGAGAGGCAGTCCTGAAACCTTGAACATAATACATGAGCACAAGAAAACAGTTTTATTTGGGAAAAGTCGTTTGTTTCGCTGAGAGTTTAACACTTCCATGCCAGGAAAACCCCAGAAGTAAAGAGAAAATGGTATTTCTGATGAGGTCAGGGACTTAAAAGTGATACAGCTAGCAAGATTAAAATATATAGGATTTCCAACATACTTTTTTTCAAAAACATAGCGATCCATCTTTTTTTTTCTTTAGCCATCCGAAACATCATTTTCTGTTCTTTTTTTTTTTTTTGAGATTTTATTTATTTATTTGATAGAAAGTGTGTGAGAGAGAAAGAGCATGAGCAGGGAGAGGGGCAAAGGGAGAGGGAGAAGCAGATTCCCCACTGAGCAGGGAGCCTGACCAACTCTGGCTGGATGGACTCCACTGGCCGGACCCCAGGACTCCAGGATCAGGACGTGAGCCGAAGGCAGATGCTTAACTATCTGAACCACCCAGGTGCCCCCAGAACATAATTTTCTTTCTTGGTTGATGTCAAACTAAGGAAATGCTAGCTTTGGAGATGATTTTTGAAAAAATTAGAAGCAACTGGAGATTTGTGTTTTGAATGAAAATGCTTGGAAACTCTAGTCAGAACCTCTTATTGTAGTGGTGCTGTCCTTGCCGTGCTACAAATACTGGTAAAAGTCTACATCAAAACTTGTGGTAATAATAGTGGCTAAGCAGTACCTATTAGGCTAGCTATAATTTTTTTTTAAAAAAGGAAGAAAATAAGAAGTATTGGCACTGTTGGTAGGAATGTCAAATGGTGCAGCTCCTGTGGAAAACAATTTGGCAGTTTCTTAAAATATTAAACATACAACTAGCATGTGACCAGCAAGTTTCCTGCTAGCTGTATGTCCATGTCATAGCAACATTATTCACAATAACCCAAAGGCAGAAGCAATTTGTCCATTGACTGATGGATAAACAAAATGGCTGTGTACATACAATGGAATATTATTCCTTAAAAAAAGAATGAAATTTTGATATGTGCTACAATGTGGATGAACCTCAAAACCACTGTGCTTATTGGGACACCTGGCTGGCTCAGCTGGTGGAGCATGTGACTCTTGTCTCAGCGTTGTGAGTTTGAGCCCCACATTGGTGTAGAGAATACTTAAGAATAAAATCTTAAAAATAAAAGGGACGTCTGGGTGGCTCAGTGGTTGAGCCTTTATTGCCTTTGGCTCAGGGAGTGATCCCGGGAGTCCTGGGATGGCATCAGCCTCTCTGCAGGGAGCCTGCTTCTCCCTCTTCCTATGTCTCTGCCTCTCTGTGTGTGTCTCTCATGAATAAATAAATAAAATCTTAAAAAAAAAATCTTTAACCCACCCCCCCAAAACCCCAAATCCACTATGCTTATTGAAATGAGCCAGACACAGAAAGTATAGTTGTACTTAGAAAAGGTACAGCTAGAATAGGTAAGTTTGTATATAGAGAGTAGAGCAGTAGGGGCTGGGGGGGGGGGATGGGAATGAGGATTGTTGTTTAATGGGCACAGCTTTTTTGGGGCTGATGACAAGTTTAGGTATAGATAATGGTGATGGTTACCCAACATTGTGACTTGATTTTGATGCCACTGACTTCTTATGAACAATAAAAATAATAAATGTCATGTGTGTATTTTACCACAATGAAATAATGGCTAAGCACTATTCTAAGTGTTTTACAGGTGTTAATTCATTTAACGAATAATGTGCTTGGTGGGGCATAGGAAAGAGCATAGGTGTTCATTCCACTTCTGGTTTGGCTGCGGATTTTGAGCCTAGAATCACGTATGTAAGTGCCATTTCTTGGTTACAGAATGTATCTATGTTAATAATTTGTTAGGATGTAAATTGTAATCTGTTTTAAACTCCTGGATGTTTCACCTGTGAGATCCAGTTCAGGTTTACTCTCTAGGAGGAGTTTTCTGTGTAGGACAAAGCACTGAATGTTATGATGGAAACCGACCAATTTGTATAGCATCTTTGTCTCCCCTCACCCCAATCGCAATATAGTTCTGGGAATGACGTGAAATAGTAATGTTTTAGAGCAATAGTTTTCAAAGAGTGGTCTCCAGACCAGCAACATGAGCATGCCCTGGGAGCTTGTTAAAAATGCAGATATTCAGGTCTCACCCCAGACCTACTGAACCAGTAAGGTACAACAATCTGCATTTTAACAGGCCTCACTCAAGTTTGAGAACTAGTGATCTAGAGAATAGCTAAAGTGTTGTGTTGGTGGGGGAACCATCTAAAAGTTTAGATACCCAGGCTCACTTCATGAAGAGAAGACCTAGATTTATAAATTGAGTCTAGTACTGTAGGAATAGAACTGGTCTGCACTGGATGGAAGCTCCAGGAGTTATCTGATTCTGGACTAGAGCTGTACTAGGCCATGGTAAGGGAAGAGTGAGACAAAACTCTCAAAAGATCAGCATTTACCATGGTTTCTCTCAGCCATAGAAAGCGCCTGTATCTACTTGAGAAATAGAAATGGAACCGCAATATCTACATGGTTAAAACAACAGGGCATTGAGACACCTGATGTCCACTGCAGATGGCATTCCCTAGAGAGACGCTTGGCTTCCAAGTGAGTACTGAATGAAAGGAGACGCAGGCTGTTCTGATTCAGCCAGGAAAACCTGCCAACTCCGACAAGGCCATTCCATAGGGAAGCTCATGTTACTGAAATGTCAGTTGCCCTGATAATCTGGACCTAGGAGTTACCAGATTTTACTGTCTGCGTCCTGCCAGGAGCTGAGCCCAGTTCTAATTGGAATTGAAAGTGGGGCGCTGCAGTGAGGACAGCCAGATTGCGGGCAGCTTTTCTGGGCCTCGTCCTTTGTAGGTTTGCAAATGGCCTCTTAGGTACAGTAAACTGTTCTTCTACCGTTTTATGAGCATGCATACATTTGCCTGGAGTTGATCTGATAGCTTCCTTAGGTTGGGAAGTACTGATCCAGTAAGTTTGAAATGGTTGAGGCCTGAGATGGCCGACATTGCCAAATGCAGTTTTCTGGCCAGCTGTATTCCTTTTGGGGGTAATGGAGCTGCAGGTTATGGAGGCATGTATGGAAGGAAGAGTCCCAGGTTTTTGAGTATGTGATGAAGACTCAGGATTTGGTTACCTAAGGCACAAGGTGTGGGGCCTATCTCAGGAAAAAAGGCAAGGGGCTAGTTAAATCTGATGTAGATTAGCGGTATCAAGTCTAATCTATAGGCTAGGGCCAGATTAGCAACAGGTCTGACATCCCAGGTCCTAGAGTTTTAAGCTAGAAATCATCTGGTTACTCCTTGTCAGATCCATGTCCCATTGGCAAAATTGAATTTGAGGTGCATGTGGGAAGAGATCAGAGGGGAAGGGGGAGAGAAAGATGGAGAAAAGGAGATGAAGATGAAGGGAGAAAGGTTTTAGTTATTGAGAAACAGAAGCAGTTGATGAGTAATTTCTGTTGTATGAGTGGAAGAACTAGAGAACTGGGAAGGAAGGAACTAGTTACTGTGTTTTTTTTTTCTTTTCCCCTAGTTTCTATGTTTTCCATATTCTGATCTTTTCCTGAATTGATTCTAATTTGCCATTGACCTTAAAATTTAGCATTCAGGACTGAAGACAGCCTTACAAATAAAGTCTGATAGGCCTCCTTGTTTTGGGCTTACTTGCTTTGGACACTGCTTCTGTAATGTGTTCCAAATTCGCAATAATTTTGGCAGTCTCAGCAAACTGTTGACTCATAGGTTCAAGTCAACTGAGATCCGTAAGTCTTTTTTTATGTGTTTCCATTAAATTTTTTCTGGTGCTTCTAAAATTGACTTTCTTGCTCTAATCCTATATAAATTTTATTTCGTTAGATTTCATGTTCACTGAACAGTTTTTGAACATTTTGTGCCCCAAACTTTATTACCTTTTCTCCCACCTTACAATGATTCTGTGAGGTAGAATTCCGCTTTTATAGAATAGAAATTAAGGCTCAAAGAAGTTAAGTAATTGGCTTACATTCAAAACAGTGAAGTGATAGAATCTGGTATTCAGACCCATCTGACTCCAAAGCCTCTTGCCTTTTTTTTTTTTTAAGAAATATTTGTTTATACATGAGAGACACACACAGAGAGGCAGAGACACAGGCAGCAGGAGAAGCAGGCCCCATGCAGGGAGCCCGATGGGGAACTCGATCCCAGATTCTGGGATCAACACCCTGAGTCAACTGCTGAACCACCCAGGCGTCCCGTCCCGCCTCTTGCTTTTAAATACCAACCTTGGCCATTGCTCCATCCTGTTTGGATCTTTTAGATCTGTGTTCTGTTTTAAATGTTATTTGTTCTCTTAGCTAAAGTCTCTCTCATATGGTCAGCATGACCCAATGCTCTTACCTAAGTCATTTATAGCAGTGGGACTGGGCCAAGGATGGATGCAGAGCAAATCAAGGGAAAGAGCATGGCCTTGAAAGTCAGATTTGATTTTGGAATCTTGGTTGTATCATCACAAGTGGTGTGACATGGCAAGGTCCTTAACTTGTCTGGGCCTCTGTTTCCTTATATGTGAAATGCCTTAACACCTACAAATGGATCTGTTGGAATGGGTGAATAAAGCATGGATGCAAAGTGCTTTAGGTTATGGCCCATCCTAGCATACTGTAAATAAACATTAGTCTACTTATCACCCTCCTTTCAGGGAATTCCTTTAAAATTTTTTATTTTGGGGGTGCCTGGGTGGCTCAGTTGGTTAAGGGTCCCTTAATTTTTTTAAAGAATTAAAAAAATCCCTTGATTTTTTTTTTAAATGGACTGTTTTGGGGTATAATGTTTAGTTTCCTTCAGGGCTATCGTATGCCCCATTTGTGGCAGCACATGTAGCTATAGAAAGTAGTGGTTAAGAGCTATACCACAGGGACATCTGGGTGGCTCAGGGGTTGAATGTCTGCCTTTGGCTCAGGTTGTGATGCCCAGGGTCCCAGGATCGAGTCTCACACCGGGCTTCCTGCAGGGAGCCTGGTTCTACCTCTGCCTGTGTCTCTGCCTCTCTCTCTCTTTCACGAATAAAGTCTTTAAAAAAAAAAAAAGAGAGAGCTATACCACAAATTTCCGTGTGATTAGAAGCAAGTTGCTTAATACTTTTTGCCTCAGTTTCATCACGTGTAAAAAGTGGGTAAAAATAGTACATACCATAAAGAGTTGTTATAAAATCAAATAAGTTGATATATATAAAGTCCTTGAAACAGTGCCTGGCAGATAGTTCTGTTTATTATTTTTTTAAAAGATGTTATTTGTTTATCTGAGAGAGAGAGAGTGCGAGTGGGGTGAAGGGCAGAGGGAGAAGCAGACTCCCTGCTGAGCAGTGAGCCCAGTGTGGGGCTCAGTCCTGGGACTCCAGGATCATGACCTGAGTGGACGGCAAACACTTAACCAACTGAGCCACCCAGGCTCAGTACTGCTATATAATCTCTGTTATACTAATATTTGTAGGTTACAGAGAATAATGCCTACCTTGTAGGGTTATTATGACACATAAATGTGTTAACTGCTTAATATTTTGTCAAGCAAATAAATGTAACAAATGGATAGGAGGAAATCTCACTGTCCACAAAGAGATTATGAAACACTTATCAAATACCTTGCTGAGATGTAGATCTCTTCTATGTATCAGTGATTTTCAAATTTTGTCCTATATGAGAATCACCTGGGGAGGGGAGCCTGGGTGTCTCAGTCAGTTAAGCACCTGATTCTTGATTTCGGCTCAGGTCATGATCTCAGGGTCCTTGGGTTGAGCCAAGTCCGACAGCGGAGCCTGCTTAAGAGTTTCTCTCTCTCCCTCTGCCATGCCTCCTCCACCAGCGCGCTCTCTCTCTCTCCAAAAATAAACAGATAATTTTTTTTTTAGATAGATAAAATTAAAAGAAAAAATTACCTAGGGCTCTTGTTAAAGTGCAGATTCTGATCGAGCAGATTTGTGCTGAGGCCAGTGCTGCAGACTTCACTTTGAGTAGCACTGCTATATATTCCATTACTTTGTTTTTTGGTCTAGTTGTATTTTTTTATTTTTTTTATTTTTATTTTTTTTTATTTTTATTTTTTTCTTAAATTTTTATTTATTTATGATAGTCACACAGAGAGAGAGAGAGAGAGGCAGAGACACAGGCAGAGGGAGAAGCAGGCTCCATGCACCGGGAGCCCGACGTGGGATTCGATCCCGGGTCTCCAGGATCGCGCCCTGGGCCAAAGGCAGGCGCCAAACCGCTGCGCCACCCAGGGATCCCTTTTTTTATTTTTTTATTTTTTTAATGTATTTATGATAGTCAGAGAGAGAGAGAGAGGCAGAGACACAGGCAGAGGGAGAAACAGGCTCCATGCACTGGGAGCCCGACGTGGGATTCAATCCCCGGTCTCCAGGATCGCGCCCCGGGCCAAAGGCAGGCGCTAAACCGCTGCGCCACCCAGGGATCCCTATTTTTTTTTTTTTTTAAAGACTTGTTTTTAGTAAATCACTTCTGGTAATCACTACTCCCCTTTCTAAAAGCTCAAAGCCCACCTTTTTGGAAAAAGACACTAAAATCCATTCGCCAGGGCCAGGTGTGTGTGCATGTGAAAGATAAATTGTGCACTTCACCAGACTGATGCCAGGCCTGTCAGAGCCTGGGAACTTTTGTAACCCTCAGTAGATGTCCCCTCTTTGAAGTGAGGACTGTGTTTGCTCATCCTGCTCATCCTCAAGTTTTGATACTTTGCTCATCCTTAAAGTTCTGCAGCACACGTTCACCAGGTTTCCCTGGAGTTCTCTGGATTGTTAGAGTTTACAGGTCTGTAGGCTTGAACTGATGTGGAATAATTAGGGGCTCTGCTGTGTAGAGCTTTCCACAAGGCTTGTTCTTCACCTCTTCAAGTTGAAGATTGTGCTAGTTGATAGGAAGAAGGAAGAAGAGAAGTTGATCTCGACAGTTTTCAGAGTCCTTTTCGTTAGCCTTAGCTTTATTAACAGGCTTTGCTTCATTCTGGGCAGTAATTTTCCCAGCACTTTTCCTTTAGATCAGAACCACCATCCTTTCTGACTGTGCACTCTTCCTTTCCACATACGTACGTCGGGTGTCTTTTTAACATCTGTACTCAATGGACTATGCTGTGCAACCATACTAGTCTTTTCAGATTGTTCTCTTTTTAAATTCCTATTGATATAATTTATAATTAATTGAATAATTGACAGAATCTGACTTTTGAGAGTTCTTTAAAAAATACTAGTGTTAAAAAAAATACTAGTGTTGGGACAATTGGGTGGCTCAGTGGTTTGAGCATCTGCCTTCAGCTCATGGGATCCAGGATTGAGTCCCACATTGGGCTCCTCCTGCATGGAGCCTGCTTCTCCCTCTGCCTGTGTCTCTGCCTCTCTCTTTCTCTCTGTCTCTCATGAATAAATAAATAAAATCTTTAAAAAAAAAAAAAAAAACCAACTTCCAGGATAAAGAAGTAGGATTTAGAACTGACACCTAAAATGATAAGGAGTCACCAGGTTTCAGTGTAGGAGAGGAAGAATGTTCTAGTATGATCTGGAAAGTCAACTCCAATTTATTGACAGACATTCACATTCCTCCTTTCTTTTCAAAG